CAGCATCATCAGCATCATCAAACTCAACATCATCGTCATCATCAGCAGCAGCATTATCAACATCAGCATCATCAGCATCATTTAAAACATCATCATCAGCAACATCATCATCAGTATCGTCATCATCACCACCGTCACCATCACCACAACCATCACCATCAGCATCAGCTCATTAGCATCAGCAACATCATCATCATCATCATCATCAGCATCATCACCATCACCAAAATCATCATCATCAACATCAACATCAGCAACATTATTAGAAGCATCATCATTAGCATCATCAGAATCGTGATTATCAGCATCATCACCATCATCCTCATCCTCATCTTCATCCTCCTAAACATCATTATCATAATGACAATGGCCATGGCTATCACATTGATTATCATCATCAGCAGCATTTGAATCATCAGCATCATCATCATCATCATCATCATCATAGCCGTCGTCAGCAGCATCATCATCAGCATCATCATCGCCATCCCCCCCTCGTCATCATCATCATCATCATCATCATCATCATCACCATCATCGTCATCGTCATCGTCATCGTCATCGTCGTCATCAACATTACCGTCGTCATCGTCATCGTCATCGCTATCATCATCATCAGCATCAGCATGAGCATGAGCATGAGCATGAGCATGAGCATCATCATCAGCAACATCATCAGCATCATCATCATCAACATCATCAACATCAACATCAACATCAACATCATCATCATCATCAGCATCATCATCATCATCAGCAGCAGCATCATCAGCAGCATCGTCATCGTCATCGTCCTGCTCCTCGTCCTGCCCCTGCTCCTGCTCCTCCGCCTCCTCGCCGAGAAAAGTGCACACTTCCGAGGGATGCCAGGGCTCAGTGATCCATCGCCGACAAACCGGCGATAGGACCCCGACAGCGCATCCGCACGGTCCTTGGGGCGGGGTGGGCGACCAGGTCCCTCTCGGTGGCTTTGGGGGTCGGCGCTTCTCCCCTGGAGCCAGTCCCGCAGACCTTTCGACATTGAACACGCTTCGTGGCCCCATAGGGAGCTCCACCGAAGGCCCAAGCGCCGCCGACCGCATGCGTCCTGCACACCCAATTCGGCACACCCCTCACACGTTTCGTGGCCCCATAGGGAGCTCCACCGAAGGCCCCCGTGGCGGCGCTCGGGGAGTCGGAGAATCGGAGAGTCGGCCAGTCGGGGGGTCGGCCAGTCGGGGAGTCGGCCAGTCGAGGAGTTGGGGAGTCGGGAAGTCGGAGAGTCGTTTTTTTTTCACCCGCCGAGCGTTACGACGGATTTCGTTTTTTTTGGAGGGCGACGAGGGAACGAGGGAGAGGAGGAGGAAGACGAGGCCGAGGGGGTCGGGTTGTCGGCCAGTCGGGGAGTCGGCCAGCCGGGGAGTCGGGGAGTCGGGGAGTCGGAGAATCGGAGTCGGCCAGTCGGGGAGTCGGCCAGTCGGGGTGTCGGCCAGTCGGGGAGTCGGCAAGTCGGGGAGTCGGGGAAGCGGTCAGTCGGGGAGTCGGGGAGCCGGGGAGCCGGCCAGTCGGCCTGTCGGGGAGTCGGGGAGTCGGGGAATCGGCCAGTCGGCAAGTCGGTGAGTCGGCCAGTCGACCAGTCGGAGAGTCGGGGAGTCGGAGGGTCGGAGTCGGGGAGTCGGGGAGTCGGGAACTCCTCTGTCAATCGGGGAGTCGGCCAGTCGGGGAGTCGGGAGTCGGAGAGTCGGGGAGTCGAAGAGTCGGAGAGTCGGGGAGTCCGTTCGACGCCTTCCGCCGAGGAAGAGATGGCAACTCCTTCAATCCTCGAAAGCAAAGCCCTTTTTGGAGCGCCCCATATATGATCCCGGGCTCCGGGCCCACGGGCCCCCCCGCCCCTCCCCCCCAGATGGTATGGTCCCAGGATTCCTCGGGCCCCCCCCAGATGGTATGGTCCCAGAGACGACGACGACGACGACGACGACGACGACGACGACGACGACGACGACGGCGACGACGGCGACGACTACGACAGCGGCGACGACGACGACGACGACCACGACGACGACGACGGCTGCGGCGGCGACGACGCCGGCGGCGGCGGCGACGACGACGATGACGACGATGACGACGGCGACGACGACGATGACGACGACGACGACGACGACGACGACGAGGACGACGAGGACGACGACGACGACGACGACGACGACGACGACCTCTGAACCACCACAGCACCACACCACATCCACAGGGGGGGGGGGAGGGGGGCACCGCAGCGCAGCACCACGCCACGCCCACCTCTGAACCACCACAGCACCACACCACATCCACAGGGGGGGAGAGGGGGGCACCGCAGCGCAGCACCACGCCACGCCCACAGGGGGGGGCGGGGGGGATCATCGCGCGGGGGGGGGGGGGCAATGGCATCAGCATTGGGGGGGAGCGGGGGGGCCAGCCCTGGACCATATATGATCGCGGGCTCAGGGCCTCGGCCCCCCCCCCAGATGGGATGGGTCCCATGGTCCTCGGCCCCCCCCCCAGATGGGATGGGGGGGGGAGGAGGAGGAGGAGGAGGAGGAGGGGAGGAGGAGGAGGAGGAGGAGGAGGAGGAGGAGGAGGAGGAGGACGAGGAGGAGGACGAGGAGGAGGAGGAGGAGGACGAGGAGGAGGAGGACGACGACGACGGCAATGACGACGACGACGACGAAGACGACGACGACGACGAGGACGACGACGACGACGACGACGACACCGACAACAACGACGACGACAACGACGACGACGACGACAACGACGAGGACGGCACCACCAGCGGCGGCGGCGACGACGTCGAGCATGGCGTGGAGCTGTCAACATGACGCCAATCCCAGCCACACGCCGTACCGACACCGCACCCACAGAGGGGGAGGGAGGGGGGAGGAGGACCATGGCGTCACCCCGCACACACCCACAGCAATACATCACACGCACACCACATCCACAGGGGGGCGGAGCCACCACGCCACGCCCACGCCCACAGGGGGGGGCATCGCGCGGGGGGTGGGGAGCGATGGCATTAGCATTGGGGGGAGCCAAACCCTCGACCATATGTGTGCTGTCTTTTTGCTCGTCTTCGATTCCTGCCACGTCCGCATCCGCCCTTCCTCGAGGACGCGGAAGCGGCAGGACAGCGGAGGCGTGCTCACCTGAAATCAAGGCCGAGGGGCCAAGAAAGCTTCGCGGAAGATAGACTCCGCAACCCGCTCGACTGGGGGAGAATCTTCTGTGGCTGCCACCTCGGCTGCAACCTTTACGCTGCTCCTATGTTTTGGCCTAGTCATTCGAGCAAAGCGCTGGGCAAAAGAGCAATAGCGTAGAGCGCGCAGCCTTGCAAGACAGCTCGTTGCAAAGCCCGCCTATGGGCGGCTCATGCGGAAACTTGCAGGTGGACTCATGCAGACCTGCCTGTCAAATTGGAACTGCGCGCGCTCTGGCGGCTGAGGACGCACGACTAGCAGTCGCAGGGCACGCATCTGTGGCCGACAGATGCGTGAATGAATAGGACTGGTGCCAATGCAACACTGCGAGAGACAGCACACACACACACACACCTCCCGCACTTCAGCTCCGATATGTGGACCTCGCAAGTCTCCAGCATAGAGAAATAACAAACAAACTGCCACCCCGCACACGGGTCGAAGCAAGACGATCTTGATACATCATCAATCACATATTGGGTGCACTTGGATTCCAAATCGCAGGTCTCCCGTGATCAGATCCTTTGGCCAATCAAAAAACAACAATCCAGTTCCGAAATGAACAGGGAAATCCATACCAAAATATGTAACGTAAAACACGGAGGAGCCTGTCAGTCGGCAGAGAATTTTGTGAATTCCAGGCTGAATCCATCGACCCGCCGCTTGCCGGGAGTGAAAAGGCGGGTGAGATGCCTGGCCGTCCTCCGCATGTACCGTCAGCACCATTACACCCGTCCGAGGTGGTAGCCCACCAGGCATCCAAGGACCTGGTGCTATGGGCCCACGAGGGGTCACCAGAGGCTCCAGGAGGTCGCCAGAGGTTCCAAGATGGCTCCGCAGAGGGCTCCTGAGAGCCCAAGCCTTACACTTCTCTGCTGAGCTCCCCTCATATTCTTAATTCAGCTGGCGCCAGCCAGCCGAAGCAGGTGCAAGCGCCAGTCGGGCAGCGGGCGGGGCGCGCTGGAAGCGCCTTGGGGCACGGCGGGGCGCGGGGAGAGCAGAAGGGAGAGGAGAGCGGGTAAACGAAACGGCACAGTAGGGGCCTCACCACAAGAAACCTTCCACAAGAAACCCAACCCTGAGACCCCAGGACGTCCATTGATTTTTGGCGTGGGAACGTCGCGATTTCCAAAGCAAAACCATCGAAACCAAAGAAACCCAGGGCACATTGGAGGCATGAAGGGTGTTTCTTGGCATGGGTCTCCACTGAACTCCCCGGACCTTTCCAGGGGTGGTTTCTGACGACGATCCCACCAGCTCTCTGGGCGTAGGTGGTCTCACGAATTGTGTTTCCTCGCTGCCCGAACTCCCTCCTGCCCCTGCTCGGGGGAAGGGTATGCCCCTCCGCCCACCCCCTCCATTGGGTCTGGACGGGGCGCCCGAGCGTCCAAGATGGCCAAAGATGGCTCCACGAGGGCGTCAGAGAGCCCAAGATGGCCTCCAAAATGGCTCAAATAGTCGAAGATGGCTCAGGATAGCTTCCGACATATATCCAAGAGGCGCCAAGACGGCCCCGAGACGGTTTCAAGTGTCCTTCGAGCCGCCAAAGGAAGCCCCCACAAAACCCAAATAGCTCCACAACCTAAGGGCAATCTATGTTTTTGTTTACCGTCTCGCATTTTCGCTTCCGCTAAGCTGAGGCTTCGAAATGGCCCCAAGACGACCCGACAGAGCACCAAGAAGGCTCCAAGAGGGACGCAAGACGGCCCCAAGAGCGCCCCAAGACGGCACAAAGAATGCAATGTTTGAGCTTCCGAAGGGGGGGCTGAATTTGGGACCCTCCTCGTTTGAAGAGTAGGGCACAAAATTGCCCCAAGACGCCTCCCAAACCCCGCGAAAGAGCCCAAAGAGGGCCCCATAGACCCTCTAAAAAAAAACCAAGAGGGCCCCAATAATGTCCCAAGTGGCTCCGCGAGGGCCCGAAAGAGACCCAAAATGGCTCCAAGAGACTTCCGAAAAACAAAAAAAAAAACACTTCCAAGGCGGTTGTTACACTGCATGCTTCTGCACTTCCCTGATCAGGGCAACTCGCCTGGTGATCTGTTTCTGGATGGGCTGGTGGGGATTTTTCGTCGCAGCCGCAAGCGAAAGCGCAGGCGGCGTCCGAAGTCAGCCTGGGCTACGAGCCAAACCCAATTACCTAAGCGCGCGAACTAACGGCCGCCGGAGCTGCCGCCGGGGGACGCCGAGCGACGCCGGGGACTGAAGGCTGAGCTGCAAGAGGTGCCAGGAAAGCCAGGCGGCTGAAGTGCAACCACCCCAGGTACGAAACCACCACGAAGGCAAACGAATTGTGCCTTGTCGCGCCAGGCGCCAGAGGTAAACGTGTCACCGAGCAGAACACGGCGTAGCGCGGGGCTGAGCAAGCAGTCCGGCGCACCTGTGTCGCATGCCAACAGTGGCAACCTCAACTGGTGAACCAGAAGGCTAAACCACTCATGAGCAATCCGCGTGGAGGTGCTTCCCACCATTGCAAGGCAGCAGCTGCAAACACGGCCAGGCTGAGGCAGTGTCTGGGGGCCAAGGGCCAGGAACATGCAAGCATGGTAGCTGGAGCTGGTCGACGTGCAAGTCACCGGGACGCCAGGGTTACATCACTAGGCTCACAGAAGCCAGCACGGACACCATCAAACGCCAGGGACACAGGGCGAACGCCCGGAAGCCGCAACCAGGCAGTGGTGCTGGTGGGGATACTTTTCGGTCGCGGCCGCGAGCGAAGAGCGCACGCGGCGAACAGGGTGTCCGGGCCGACGGGCAAGCCTAATTAGCTACAACACGCGCCGCAAGCCGGCCGGCCCACTTACAAAGCAGCCGCGGGGCTGTGCGGGAAACTGACGGCAGGGGACATCCTGGGAAGCTCGGGCACGTGCGCTCTGACAACTATTTTTTTTATACGCGGCCCAAAGGACGGTTCCAGAGGGCGGGTCGTAGCAAGCTTGGGGCGACAAGAAAGATAATTGCCAGCGGGCCAAAAGCCAACGCCGGAACGCATATGCGAGGAACAAAATGAACCTCATTGAGCCGAACAATGACGGCGGCAGACACGAAGGCCAGCGGAAGGTCGCACAGTGGCGCCAACTCCCGAGGCGCAAGCCTGCGAGAGACCAGTGGGGAACGTGGAGAGAAGAAGCAGAGGCGAAGACAGGCGCGGAAAAGAGGGCAAAAGGCGCAGGAGGCGAGAGACAGGGGCGGGAAAAAGGGGAGAGCGGGACAGGGGGCAAAGGGAGCCTCAATCACAGAGCACCTCATGTGCTTGAAGACAGGTCGTCTCTGAACCAGGCGTAAGTGGTCTTGTCGTAAGTCCCGAGTGGCAACAACCTTGCGTCCGTGGACTGGGGGGACGTCGCGTGGGACCACGGCAGCACTAGCCACCGGCGTCCACAGGCCCCGCCTGGGGGAGACTGCGGGCAGGTGAGCACCACCTGAACACCGCAGAAGGGCAGGGCGTCGTAGGCGCCCGCGAGCGGCAAATCCAACCAGAGGAAAGGGCCGATGTCGCTGGCATAGCCGGATGCCGGGGAACGCCTGCCAAGAGGAAGCACGGCCTTGTCAAATGATGCACCACTTGTACAGGAAGCCAGCCTCCACGGCCCACCTGCCAGTGCCCCATCGGGCGCACCTTGCCGCGTGGAAGGAATGACCACCTCGGAGCGTGCGCGAAGACGTGGCACTGCTGGGGGGAAGCCGACTGGCGTGCTCAGCACCTAAGCGTACGTGGAGGAGGGGGGGAGAGGCGCAGCCGATAGCTGCAAATCCGGTGAATACAGGAGGAAGGAAAGGCGCAGGTGTGCCAGGCGACACAGACTGCCGAGGACCCAACAGAGCGTTGCCAAGGGCACACTGACAAATACGCGAAGAGTCAAGAAATTCGAGGCGAGTCCAGCGGTGGCGACGAGGGCCTTCCAGGAGGCCCAAAAAGAGGAAAACGAAAGAAGGGCAGCGGAATGGGTCCCTTTCCATCGTCCGAGCACGCTTGCCTGTCGTCGTCGTCCTCGATCGTCGAGCGTCGATCGTCGCCGTCGTCGATCGTCGTCGTCGATCGTCGCCGTCGTCGTCGTCGTACATCGACCTCGACTTCGCCTTCGTCGTCGTCGTCGATCGTCCCTGCCGTCGTCTTCCTCGATCGTCGTCGTCGTCCTCGATCGTCGTCGTCGTCGTCAATCGGCGTCGTCGTCGTCACCGTCGTGGACAGTCCTGAGGTCCTCGTCGATGCTTGCCTCGGAGCGGGTCTCTTGGCTCTGCTTCTGGCCTGCCTTCCTCGGGCTGCTCGGGACTTGTTTCGCGTCTGCCTGCCTCGGGCTGTTGGGCTGTCTGTTGCTTGACCGTCCTGCGCGGGCTGCTCGGCTTTTTGTGTCTTGCATGCGCCCCTCGGGCTTCGTGGCTCTGCGTCTGGCCTGCCTTCCTCGGGCTGCTCAGTCTTGTCTCGAGGCTGCCTGCCTCGGCCTGCTCGGCTTTTGGTTTCTTGACCGTCCTGCGCGGGTTGCTCGGTCTTGGCTCTGCTTCTGGACTGCCTTCATCGGGTTCCTTGGACTTGGTTCTCTGCTGCATAGCAGTGCCAAGCAGCGCCGAGCAGTGCCATGCAAAGACAAGCAGAGCAGAGCAGTGCAGCGCAATGCCAGGCAATGCCAGGCACTGCCAAGCAGTGCCAACCCATGCCAATGCCAAGGAATGCCAACCAATGCCGAGTAATGCCGAGCGTTACCAAGCAAACCGACGCAACGCCAATCAATGCCAAGCAATATCTGGGAGTGCCAAGCAATGCCAGGCAATGACAAGCAATGCAAAGCCATGCCAAGTCAAGCGAAATCGAATAACAACTCCCGCTGTTCGGCCCAAGATGCTCCCCAAAATGGGCCTCAAAGGCCTTCGAGACGGCCCAAAAACGATCCCGGCCGGACACCCAGACATGCGACGTCCTGATGTATTCAATTCGGTGTCCTCGGAAGTCCCGACCCTTTCCCTGGGACTGGCCCGAGTTGTTTTTTGACGGTCCTGGGGCCTGGCGAGGGCCTCCAGAGGCCGAAAACGGTGAAAAGCCTCCGTCGTCATTTTTTCTATCCACGTGATCATGTCTGGGCAGGGCGGCCTCTGAGACAGCTCCATGATGACCTAAGACCGCGCCAAGACGGCCACAAAGACTCCCTCCCCACGGAGCCCCGAGAGACCTCAAGCGGCCCACCCTGAGAGAGCCCAACGGGGCCCCAAAGGAGGCCCTACTGGTGAGATCCCGAAGAGGCCCCACGAGGGCTGCGAGTAGGCAGCACCAGCCCTCGCTGCGAGCTTCGCCTCTTGGGGGATCGGCGACACGGCGCAGGTCTGCAGAATGTCAGGTTCAGGGTTTCCTCTCACGTCATGAAACACTACGATCGCCTTCTTCGACAAGTACGGGTAAATACCGTCAAAATCAGCTACCACCTGCTGAACCGAATGGTACCCGTCAATGAAAGCAACATCATACTCTCCTGGTAGACCGCGCAATGCCTTCTCGGTATCGTTTGGTGAAAACCCGGTGAAAAGATTAACGTCCCGGCCTTGCTCTGCCGCGATCGAACGAGTCCACGAAGATCCTGCACTATTACTGTCGCCTTCAATCTCAGCATCGATCACGTCAATGGGTGCATTCCTGAAAATAAAACTCAATAGCAAAGTGCTGAAGCCAGCCGCATTTCCAACTACGAAGACCCTGCGCGGCTGCACAAGATCGCTCAAACGGACGAACAGCTCGATATCAGATAATTCCACCGACTCTCCTGTATTATGGCCACGAGCGACCTTGCCAAACGTACTTCTGTACACGTCGTGGAACTGCTGTGAATGTCCGTCTTGCTCAAACCTCAACTGAGGCAGAGTCACAGCGTCTATGTGATTCGACAAAGTGACATTGTGCCGCAGGTAGAGGCACCACACCTGTGCCTCAGAGACTAGCACGCGCTCGCGCAATGGGCTTTCTGGGTCTGTGCATTGGCGTCCCCACCACTCGAATCGCGCCGTGTTCTCAACCAAGCGACGATACTGATCGAAAACGTCACATAAGCCTTGTCGAAGCCACGTTATGAATTTTGCCCTATGCCGCCTTTTGCCCTTGAGCGGATCGGAGCACTTGGCAGGACAAGAACCCCCGACTGATGCACACCGCCACGCGCAGTCCGTCCCCAACGCAGGATACGTGTCTTCCCACATGTTGCTCTGCAGGCTGTTCAGCTCGTGCATGCCTGCCGATATCGAGGAACGAATCAGTCCAAGCTCATAGTCCGCATTATCTGAGACCCCAAGGCCAAGAGCCCTCCGCGCAGAAGCCAGGCCACCCTCGATGGCAGCTGCACCCGCGCGAGCTTCAGCAACTGTGTCGCGCCAGGCAATGGAGGAGTCCATGACTTCATCTGCGCTCGTGCAGTAGCAGAAACTGGCCAAGAGGATCCTCACCCAGACGGAGCCAGACCTTAAAGCAATCATACCGCTTGTGGGACCGACTAAATTCAGGTGACCCGCATTTGTTTACACGTTGCCGTCCTCTCTGGCTAGCAAAGCTGAGTCCAGTCCAGAAAACCCATACTGAGCAATCTCGAGCCGATCAATATACAAATATACACCGACATACCTACACATGTCTATACACGAACCACTGACAAAACGAAAACGACGCATGTGCAATGACCATAATGTCGACATCCGATACGCCTGCGGCATAAACCGCCGCAGCGGCTTCGAGACGAAACAGGATGCGAGGACGTCTACAGAAAGCGCATATGAGCCCAAACGCAGGGGAACCTCACGACCCAGGATCTCCCTTCAAGATCTATCCCTCTCCCGTCCCTCCTCCTCCTCCTCCTCCTCCTCCTCCTCCTCCTCCTCCTCACCAGGGCTCTGGACAAGAAAGGTCGCGAGCAGTCAGAGCATCCAGGCCTGGATGGTCTCAGCCTTCCCACCAAATCCGCCGACCCCTTGGGGATCATCGGCGTGTGAGATGCTTCCCCCACCCCAAACCCCTCCCCCGGGAGCCCGGTCCGGTCGATTTGGAGGGGGGGGGGGGGTCCGGCGCGAGCGGGGGGGGTCCGGGACGAGCGACTCACGGGGCTTTTCCGGGCCCAAGAGGGCCTCAAGACGGGCCAAGAAGCCCCCAAGAGGCCTCCAAGACGGCCCACGAAGGCTCCGAGACGCCAAACGACCGGTCCAAGACGCCCACGATGGCCCCAAGACGGGCCAAGAGGTCTCCAAGACGGCCTCCGAGGTCCCAAACAAGCCTCCCAAGAGGGCCCAAAGAGTCTAAAATTGTTGATTTTCCCGAGTGTTTTTCGACGTTTCTTGCTTTCCCGCCTTTCCGGCTTCCCGACGCTCCAAGACGGCCAAAGAGGCCCCAAAGATAGCCCCAAGATGGCCCAAGAGGCCCCCAAGACGGCCTCCAGACGGCCCAAGACGGCCCCAAGACGGCCCAAGAGGTCCCCAAGACGGCCCAAGAGGGCTCCAAGACGGCACCAAGAGGGGCCCAAGAGGGCGACCAAACATGTTGAAACTCTAGCTTTCTGCCCCCAGGAGCCCCAGGGGGGCCCCAAGAGTGCCCCAAGAGGCCCCCAGAGGCCCTCACGAGGCCGCCCAGACGCCCCAAGGAACCCCCAAGAAGCACCCCAGAGGCTCCGAAACGGCCCCCAAGTGGCTCCAAAACTCGCTTCCAGAGGCCCCCGAGAAGCGATCCGCGAGATCCCGATACACATACAAGAAGCCTCTCACCCATAACCCATAACCCAGAGCCGTTTCTCCGTGTCCCCCTTCTCCTCCTCCTCCTTTTCCTCCACCTGGGCCCCCAAGTGGTTCCAAACTGCCTGCCATAGGCCCCATGCCGGCACACCCTTTGCACGCGCCGTGGCCTCGCACATGGCCAAGTTGACCCATCATGACTCCTGGGCAGTCCCCCAAAAAAACTCCCGACCGCTACCGAAACGGCTCGAAGACATTCCCGAGCCCAACCTGGCTCCATTATGCCTCTCAGATGGCCCCAGATGAGACCACGACCGCCCGCGGTGTCGCCGTCCGCTCGGACCCCCCCGCGGAACTGCCCGAGACCCTCTGGCGGTGGCGGCGAACAGACACCAAACAAATATCACTCGCCTTTTCACCCCTTCGCAGCTTCTACTACCCCCAGATTGGCATAAACAAGGGGTCGGCGGTGTGGCGTAAGCCTAAGAATCAGCGCACGAGGCCCACTGACTGCGAGAGGCACCGGTAGAGGCGGCAGCCCGGCCGGGAGGCCGAGCTGGTCCAAGCCCTGGATGTACCCTGACCTCCTCGAGTCGTGACAAACTCACGATGGGAGGTCCTTGTCAGTTTTCGCCCTCTGAGACCTCGCCGGGCCGTGGGACTGTCAAAGACGAGCCAGGACGACAGGTCCGTCCCGTGGAAGAGGTCCAGACCTCCGAGGAGCCACGCTGTGAGAAAGCACGATGTCGGATGTCTGGGTAACCAGTGGTCGGGCAGCCGGAGGCCAGGACCAGGGGCCAGGGACGCATTGAAACAAGAAGAGCCGCCATGACATCTGGGGAGATATCATGGCCCCTGCCATGATATCCACCCCCTAGTCATCGTCCCCCTCCTTTGCTGCCCCCGACATCAGTCCTCCTCCTCCTCCTTTTCCTCCTCCTCCTCCTGTTCCTCCTCCTCCTGCTCCTCCTCCTCCTCCTGCTCCTCCTCCTCCACCTGCTCCTCCTGCTCCTCCTCCTCCTCCTGCTCCTCCTGCTCCTCCTCCTCCTCCTCCTCCTCGTCCATTCCTGTTCCGTACAAGAGGCACGCGTGCCAAATATCATACAATCACAGATTTGAGACACTGGGAGATGGAGACGGCGCCAACCTGTGGTAGATTCGGGGAAGCGCGCGAGTGCTGCGACACGCTGGCGAGTGACCATAACGTTGTGGATGCCATGACACTGGACACTCGAACAATACTATCATTCAGTTAAAGATGTGATTAAAATGTGTAACACATGTTGTAAACATGTGTCAGACATGTGTTTGCATATTTGAAACATGTTTGAACAAAATGTTAGACACCTGGAAATTATTTGGCAGCATGCTTCCTCTACATTAATCGACTTCCACAACCAGAACGGGGGAGCGGCGAATAGCAGTATGGCTGTGTGGACGCAGCGCCAGGTTCGATCTGAAAGCGATCTTAATATGACGGGAGAGGTTTACGAGGCTTCAACGGCGTGTTTCATAATGCAGGCCACCTGTGTGGAGCGAAGCACTTGGTCCCAAGAGGGGGGCGCGATGACATACGTAGCTAAGATGATCCGCCACTGTGTCTTCAGCGCATTGTCGAGTGCTCCAAGGGGGGCACCGTCGGTCGGTCGGAATAAGCAGACGGGGGCCATGGGGCGGAAGGGTGCGGAGGGGGAGCGAAGGGACGGGGGGCACGGTCGGGCGGGGGGGGAGGGGCACGATCGGTCGGTCGGTCGGAATGAGCAGACGGGGGGCCACGGGGCGGAGGGGCGCGGGGGGGCAGGGTCGGTCGGCCGGAATAAGCAGACGGGGGCCACGGGGCGGAGGGGTGCGAGGGGGGAGCAAAGGGACGGGGAAGGCACGGTCGGGCAAGGGGAGGGGGACGGTCGGTCGGTCAGTCGGGATAACCAGACGGGGGCCACGGGGCGGAAATGCGCGGGGGGGGGCAGGGGGCGGGAAAGCACGGACGGGCAAAGGGGGTGGCACGGTCGGTCGGTCGGTCGGAATACGCCGACGGGGGCCACGGGGCGGAGGGGCGCGGGGGGGGGGGCAGGGGGACGGGGCACGGTCGGTCGGTCGGTCGGAATACGCAGACGGTGGTCACGGGGCGGATGGGGTGCGGGCGGGGAGCAGTGAAGGGGCCCCAGGACACACAAATAAATACACACAAATTCGCCGGCCCAACGGGCCAGAGGCGTGCTAAGATCTCCGGTAACTGGTTAACAATTGTATTGTACTAGTTCGCGCGCGCGGGGCGGCCCCTGGGGGTCCCCCGGCGAAAAGTACCCCGCCCGCCGCCTGGGAAGGTCCCGCCCGGTTCAACTCAGAGATGGTTTTCCTTCTGGGTGCGGCCTCTCAGGCCGCCCTGAGCGCGCCAAGAGTGCCCCAAGAGGCCCCCAAGACTGCCCAAGAGGCCCCCGAGACGCCCAAAGAGCGCTCGAAGACGCCGAAGATGACCCCAAGACGGCCCAAAAGGCCCCCAAGACAGCCCAAGAGGCCTCCAAGACGCCCCAAGAGCCTTCCAAGAGGCCTCCGAAGAGAGCCCCAAGAGGCCAAAATCGTTGATTTTCATTGTTTTTTTCTATGTTTTTTGTGTTCTGGCTTTTTCGGCTTCCGGACGCTCCAAGACGGCCCAAGAGGCCCCCAAGACCGCTCCAAGACGGCCCACGAGGCTCCCAAGACGGCCCCGGAACGGCCCAGGAGGGCCCCCAAGACGGCCCAAGTGCCGCCCAAGACGGACCAAGAGGCCCCAAGACGGGCCCAAGAGGGGCTCAAGAGGGGAACCGAGAACTGAAAAATCGAGCCCTCCGCCCCAGAAGGCGCCCAGGAGGCCCCAAAAAGGCCCCAAGAGGCCCCCAAGAGGCCCCCAAGACGCCCCAAGAGGCGCCCAAGAGGCCCAAAAGAGGCCCCAAGAGGCCCCAAAACGGCCCCCAAAACTCGGCTAGCCCACAACGGTGCGACAATATGGGCCGGCGGAATGAGCGAAGCGATTAAATAAAAAGATTCCCCATATTTTCACATATTTTCTGGGTTTTTGTCTTCCCCCACACTTCCCATATTTTCCCATATTTTCTGGGGGATCGACGATTAATTGTGTCTGTGTGTTTTTTTCCCTCCTGGAGCAGGGGGGCAGGAATGCACCGTCGGGCAAAAGGGGGGGGGGGCACGGTCGGTCGGCCGGCAGGAAGGAGCAGACTGGGGCCACGGGGCGGAGGGGTGCGGGGGGGCAGGCAGAGCACACGAGCGTGGCACGCATCCCAACGCACCTCTTGGCCCAGATGCCCCAGTACACCCAGGCGCGCGGCGCGCAGTCGTTTAAAACATTGCAAGAGCTTCACGGATTGAGGGTGGGTCGTTTTCAAAATGTGGCTCTCACCTTAGCGCGGCGCGCATAAGTTTTTGCAACTTGCAAGAGCTTCGCGGATTTAGGGCGGGTGGTTTTGAAACTGTGGCTCTCATCTTAGCGTGGCGCACATTCGGTTAAAACATTTGAATGGGTTTCACGGATGGAGAACGGGTCGCTTTCAACATGTGGCCCTCGCCTTTGCGCGGCGCACATGTTTGAAACATTCGCAAGAGCTTCACGGATTGAGGTGGGCTTCTGTTCAAAATGTGGATCTCGCCTTAGCGTTTCGCGCGATCGTTTATACCATGTGCAAGAGTTTCGCGGATTCCCATCAGCGACGTACCAGGAATTGCGTTCTGAAACGATTCAGGATTACGCGGGCGCAGCAGACATTTTGATTCGCTGTGTTGAAGTCCCAGGAATGGCGTTCTGGCAAGACTCAGGGTCGTCAACACGCACCAGTCAGGTCGATCCGTGGCGTTGCAATCCCGAGAATAGTGCTTTGGCATGCTTCAGGGTCTTCAGACGGTTGTCTTCCAACGAAGAAGTTCCCCCAATGGAAGAAATGGACCGTTGTATGGAGCCTATGGAGAGGGAGTTTGGCGGGAGGGTTTATTCCAACATCGTTGGTGACTCCTGGGTTTACACTGGTCCTCCTCCTCCTCCTCCTCCTCCTTCTCCTCCCCCTCCTCCTCCTCCTCCTCCTCCTCCTCCTTCACCTCCTCCTCCTTC